TGTCATGCTTACCTCGTGCCAGGGAGGTTGGTGTAATCGCTGCAGTAGCAGTAGCAGTAGCAGTAGCAGTAGCAGTAGCAGTAGTAGTAGTAGTAGTAGTAGTAGTAGTAGTGGTAGTAGTAGTAGTCGTGGTGGTGGTGGTGGTGGTGGTGGTGGTGGTGGTAGTAGTAGTAGTAGTAGTAGTAGAGCAGCAGCTTGAGAGATTCGTGGTAGGAAAGGTAGCAGTCGTAGTAGTCGTCGTCGTAGTAGTAGCAGTAGTAGCAGTAGTAGCAGCAGCAGCAGCAGCAGAATAAGAACTAGTACTGGCAGTAGCAGCAGCAGTAACTGTAGTATAACTGCAGTAACAGTAGTAGTAGTAGTAGTAGTAGTAGTAGTAGTAGTAGTTGTAGTAGTAGTAGTAGTAGTAGTAGTAGTAGCAGCGTAGTAGTAGGATTCGTAGGAGTAGAGACTAGAGAGGTACTGTTGCCTCAACAGCAGCTGACTTTGGCTCTGTGCTTTCGAAGACGGTCCTGGAGCCCATGCCATAATAGTCTTGGTCTTCAGGCTCGGCCAGTTCGCGAGCGTCCTGTCTTTCCGGCTAAAAGCACCTACCCACGGCAGAATTACACACCCCATGCAAACATCAATGAAATTGAGAATTATGTTGTACCCACAGTACATGACATGAGCAGGCTCAGCCATGTGAATCGGCGCCCAACCCGACAACAACGCAACACTGCATTCACCACCAATGATGAAGTACCTGTGAAATGATGTGAAATGCAATTTGACATTTACTGATTTCGGCCTCTTCGCTCCAAATCTTCGAAGCCGCAACGAATTTGCCCACCTGAGAGTCTCTCAAACACCGAAAATGTCTGGATCCGTGCGGGAACTCCTAATGCCGCAAGGTCAAGAAGGTTCACGGTTTTGCGGTATCCTGGCTCCGAGTTGGTTGACTCGGGCTCCCAAGTCCCCAGCACTTATCGAGTCATGCGCAACGAGATCAAACAGACCAACAGTAGCGGCAAGTGCCATGGCTGTACCAAGGAAACATTGAGCTACCGAGTAGCAACTGTACATGCATCTCCCCAACAGCTCGCAAACGCATCCCTGTCACTCGAGGGACATGAAAGGGGACGATGACACACTTGTGAATCCGTTTGTGCAAGGCGATCGTTGTGGCACCGTCAAACATTGGGAGTGGCCGGGCCCCAATGACAGTGGACACAAACAGGCCCACAAAAAACGCACAAGCTAAACTTAATCGTCTTTGCATGGAGTGTGATCATGCAGCACCCATGTACGCAGTCGCTGCCTTTGAAGATATGATCTTCTAGCCATATCCAAGCATATCCCTCCTTCCTATCTTCTTGTCTTAATGCCACTCAAGCGCGTCTCCTTTCCTCTGCAGCTCTCTCCTGTTCCGGTATACAGGATACCGCGTGCCGGATACGCCATTTCACGCAAACACCCCGAAGGCTAGAGTTTAAGCAAATTTTTGTAGTTTTAGCTAAGCCAAACCCTCTGAAGCTAGGTCGAAGCCTGCTGGGTGAGTCAAGTGTGATTGTGTGCACTCCTGTGTGCGCATGTTTGCGCTTTTTCTTGCGATGCTTGTAGCAAAAAAGGTAGATTGCGAAAATTAGGAATTCGGGGGTCCTTTAGAGGCAAGACACAGATGCCCAGAGATGAGGTGGCCTGGGGGATTTGTGGGGCTGGCTCCCGGCAAGGGCCGAGGGAGGCTCCGGGTAAATTTGGCCTCAGGCAGGGGCTCGGCTAGCAGACTGGACTGGGAAAACTAGTTTGGCCAGAAGTTTCTGGTGCTTTTATTTGTGCTTTTTTGTGCCTGTGTTTGCTAGTTTGTGTTTTTTTTTTTTTTGTTTTGTTTTTGTTTTGTTTTTGTTTTTGTTTTTGTTTTTGTGTTTGTGTTTGTTTTTGTTTTTGTTGTTGTTTTTGTTTTTGTTTTTGTTTTTGTTGTTGTTGTTGTTGTTGTTGTGGTTGTTGTTGTTGTTGTTGTTGTTGTAGTTGTTGTTGTTGTTGTGTGTGTGTTTTTTGGTGCCTGTGTTTGCTAGTTTGTGTTTGTGATTGATTTTTATAGAGCTTTTTTTGTGGTTATGTTTGTGCTTTACAGTTCGTGTCTTTTTTCATGTGTTGTCTGTCTTTTTTTAAAAAACATGTCATGTGTGCTAGTTTGTTTGTTTTTTATGTTTTCTTTTCTCGTGATATTTTTTGTGCTCGTGTTTGCTAGTTTGTGGTTTTGTTCTGTACTTTCAAATTCTCTAGTAGCCTGGGAAAATCAAGTTTAGTCTCAGAGTTGCTCTGTCTCTGTCCAGCCCAGCGTAGGCCTGCCGGCAGGCTGTCTGTACTCTCCGTCCAGCCTTGAGATAGTGACCTGTCGGCCTATCTGGCTCCTAGACATTTTTTGGCGTGGCCCTGAAAATGGAAATTGCCACCCATGTCTGTCTCTCTCTCTCTCTCTCTCACTCTCTCTCTCTGCTGGGGACAGCCAGAACATCGGAAGCCATCACATTTCCTAACCTAAACCCTAAAACCACTGTATACATGTCTAGGACACCAGGATTATGGTGCATTTTGGAAACCCATCTATGCAATCAAGATGCTTTACTAAAATATCAGATATGGATATGGTATAGAGTACAGATAACAGTATGAAAACTTGTAGCCTTATAGTAATATAGTCAACATACATGTTGTTCTCAAATTTGCAAGTCAGTGCAGATCGAAGCATCTGTTCTGCAGACTTGGTTTGGATCATGCCTTCAGTTCTGGCTGGGACCGTCTTAAAATGCCAACCTCAAAACCTAATACCATGGCATGGTAGGCTTTAAGGCCATAGGCTATCACGAGTAACACCCCCGAAAAAAGACATCAGTGTCGGGGCGCGGGAACGTAACGAGTGAGATTCATCCCGTGCGTGACCCACTGCAGTGCCAGGAAGTTGAGGTAGTAGTGGGTGGAAGACGGCATCCTTCGTGGAAGCGCTGGGCAGTCTGCACACTAAGGGCTTGCTAGACATGCCTCGTGCCAAAACACGTCCAAATCCAAGAAAAGCCGCCGGGACACCTACTGCTAAGTTAGGCTCTGTGGACACATCGGTCGGCTCAACTGGCTCGCAGCTCGGCTTCGTAGAGGATTACGCGAAGCAGGCGTGGGAGCTCGTTTTTCCCCCTTCGGTCGAGCTCCAGTGAAATCTAGGTTTGTGTGGATAGAAACGCAAAATATGCAGCACAGGCGGAGAAACTCAACTAAACTTGCTGGATCAAGCACTGCACGACGTGGCATCAAGTCTCGATCATGGGCTCAAGACACCATTCCTTCCTGAACCACGCAAGTCCCTTATTATTCAATGATCAAAAGCCCTCCGCCGCCGTATTTAGGCCCTCTGAGTTGGAAATGCAGTACATACTTATGCACTTAGGTCTAATGCCCATAAGTAGCACACAGGCACCGCCCTCAAGTCGGACATCAGAAACTCCGAGGCCAAACCCCAGCCCTTTCTGCCCCCGGGCGTCTTCTCCGCCAGCACCAGCGGAAGCTTCAAGGGATCTTGAGCTACCTCCAAGTTTTGGGGATGGTTGGGGACCGGTCTGCGTTTGGCATGGGCACAGGGGGCTCTCTAGGTGAAGGTGTCGAGTTTCAAGGGTCTCGAACTCGCAGCACTCTACTCAGATCTTGGAGCTCGGCTGTGGTAACCCAGCATCTCTGGGGCTTCTGTTTCCTGCGCCGCTGCGATCGTAGCGAAGGGCGAAGGCTGCTAGCCTTGCTTCCGGCCGTTATACCTCCCCAACTGTATACGTGTAATATAACGGCATGTATGCGCTGTATATACATGCCATTATAAGCCCTCAACATCCCATGAAGAATAAAGATACAGTTGACCGAAAGCAGGTGTTTTAATTTCTTCTTGGCCACGTGCCCACGGAACACTCATCATATGGGCGAACAGCATTATTGCCTGCCTGCGACACGAAATTCACAAAGTCCTGGCAGAAGATCAGAGCGTGAACCCAGAGTCTTGCGAATCTACGCAATACCGTACTGCGATTCTCTGTGAAAGAGCTTTGATGCCGTTCGATCTCTGCAGTAGCAAAGCTTGCATCGCAAATGTGTGGACAGAAGGATTCACCGATCACAGCAAGTTTCACAATCATGCATGATCATGGCGCTCCATCATCCTCCACAAGACCCGACTTCAAACTCGACTTCGAGCTCTTCGTCTTGTGGGTGGTGGAAGCGGTGCTAGTGGTGGCCGCCGCTGGCTTTGTTGTCGGTGCTTTAGCCTTGACTCTTGGTCTTCACGTGGTCTTCACGAAAGCGACTCCGGTTGTCGTAGAAATTTCTGAGTTGGTTGCCAACGTGAGGGCCTCTGAGTTGTCAAAGTCACCGCGCTTGCAAGACAGGTTGTCGTTGCTGACGAGATAGTCCGCTCGGATTGTAGTTCCCGCATCTCAAACAAGAGAAGCGGGTTTAGAAACAGCTTCGGATGCTGAAACATTTCAGTGCAGCAAGATCACTACGTATCGTCCTGACCAACTACGGTCACGCCGATGACGAAAAAAACCATGAACCAGAAATACCTTGGCTGATGTGCTGAGAATTCAGGCTATGCGACAGCATCCATGTCTGTCAAGCCATGCATCCAGTTGCATCCAATGGCCAGCAGCGGTCACCAGCAAAGCAAGAACAACAACCGTACACAGCAGTATCGTGCAAACTCACCCTCCGAGCTGCCAGTTCTGCAGCTCCAGCTGTGAACGCACCTCGGACTTGAGGTTGAAAAGCCAGGAGAAGATGTTGATGAGGACCTGGCTGTCACGATGGCGGTCAACAGGCGATTCAGTGACCATTCGAACCCAAATTTCGCAGAGCTTGCGGCGCTTGACTCGGATTTCGGGATACAGGACTGTCAGCTACGACTGCTCTCACAACTCTTGTGCAGCGTGCAGCAGTGCAACGTTCTACTGCCACTGCTCCTGCTGCAGCATCGGGCTGCTACCGCAACGGCGACTGCTGCTGATGCTGCGACTACTACTGCTGCTGCTGCTACGCCGACGTCTATCGACGACTTTTACTTCTCCTGCTCCAACTCCTACTCCTACTACCTGCTGCTGCTGCTCCTGCAGCTGCCGCTGCTACTACTTCTGCTACTACTACTACCACTACTACTACTACTACTACTACTACTACCACTACTACTACTACTACTACTACTACTACTACTACTACTACTACTACTACTACTCTACTACTACTACTCTACTACGACTACTACTACTACGAATAAAAATAATAATAACAACAACTACTACTACTAATACTAATACTTTTACTACTACGACGACGACTACTACTGCTACTGCTACTGCTACTGCTACTGCTACTGCTACTGCTACTGCTACTGCTACTGCTACTGCTACTGCTACTGCTACTGCTACTGCTGGTGCTAGTGCTACTGTGCTACTGCTACTGCTACTGCTACTGTTACGGCTACTGCTGCTGCTGCTGCTGCTGCTGCTGCTGCTACTGCCACTGCTGCTACTACTGCTACTTCGACTACGACGACGACGACGACGACTATTTACTACGACGACGACGAGGACTGTTGCAGCTGATAATGCTGCTGCACATGCTGAGTACCAGAAAACCGAAGCCCCGCCCTTACAGCGACCTCTCGTCGTAACGACTACCCATTTCAGCTAAGAGACAGTAGGCGCGAAGGAGAGGAAGATAAGCAAGCCCAACGTCGGGGCGTAGGCCTGTGCGACAACTCCATGATTTTATGAATTTCTAGAGTAGCTAGGGCTGGAGGCGGCAGGTCTCTGTTGGCTGGCTGCGGTGTGAAGTGCTGCGATAGTTTCGAGCTCTCCCGGTTCACTTCCCACCCAAATCTCACAATCGAGGTCGGCACCTACAAATCAAAAGTTGTATCGTGTGCATGACCTTAAATGCTTCAAGTCTCGGCCGTGGGTCCACGACTTCGCTTACCGACTGCTGTACAGCAGCGTGCGCATGAACCCTTCTGAACGCCTGACAAATCCCGGAACCACCTTGTTGAACCCAGGCTCAAATCCCGGAACCACATGTTCGAAGAAAAGTGCTCGTCTGGCAAATTGCCAAAAGCCTTGCAACCGGAATCAAGCCGACATTCCCTGGTCAGTTTACACGTCCCAGACCCTCTCTCTCCCTCCCTCTCTAAAAGCCCGCCCCTCCCCCATGCGCTATCGCAGCCAAGCTGCAGCCCAGAGGGACTGGAAAGGTCCGAGGTTGATAGTTGTCGCCAAGTTTGTTACCTTGGTTTCAAACGCCCCAAGCCAAACCACAGTCTCATCATCCAAGCGTGTGAGGGTGCGGAAGCCTTCACAAACGAGAACATGAATTCTAGGTGTGACGGGGTCTGATATATGGCAACTAGCAATAACTAGTATACTCGTAACTACTTTATATAGATACAGCTGCTGTTCTCGCTGTGTCTCCGTGGTGGTGATGGTATTTATTGGTGGTCGTGGTGGTGGCACTGAGCCCAGCATCTAGGCGAACATGGTGAAGGCTGGGCTCTAGCTCTCCTGTGTTACCTGCACAGCAAAGCTATACGATTCGCACTTAGCCAGGCCGCAAACAAGCAGAATGGCGTGAAAGCCACATACAAGCCAAACACCAGGCCATATCCTGAGCGCCCGGGGAAGGAGTTTGCGGGGCTCGGTACAAAAGGAGCAGCTCGTGTCATCGTCGGGGGAGATAACGATGAGCAGGACAGGACCAACAGTGATTCTTCGACTTGCATGATCTCACTAGATAACTCGCCCTCGGGCAAACCTCTCGAAGTCTCACTTGACGACCTTTCGACTAACCCTCTTGTCAGGGAGCCGATAATTCGCTTGGCAGTCCGGAGCTCCACGTTCACCTTCAGATCCGACCAAATGATGTCCTGCATATATAGGTCGAGAGGGCTGCCAATTGAAATCGCGGTTTTTGAAGTGGCATGCTGTATCAACGACGCCCAAACGCAGTCTCGGCACGGGATTTGAAGTCTACACTGCGTCGCTTCTCCAACTCCTACATGCTTCATTCCGCGGATTTTCCAACATCCTGGCTGGCAAACTTAAACCATCGACATCATGACAGATCTGTGTCTTCTGCCGCCCCTAAACCAGGTCTCCTTGGGTGCCGGCGCTTGGGAGATAAGCCAAGTAGTCCGATCCGCGGAAAACCTGAGGCTGGCATAGTCTTCTTCAGGGCCCTATAAACCCTAACCCTTGTTCGACTCTCACTTTTCCCGACCAGTTCGGGTTTGATGGCTGTTTTGCTTTCTGCACCGCCAGGTGCTGCTAGGTCGAAGCAGCTAAATTCCTAGATGGCGCAACAAGAATTTCAGGAGTTAGTAGATTGTGCTGGCAGAATCCTTTCTCAGAGTATCAACTCAATCGACTACAGGCGCGCATTGAGATTGATGATTTGGGTCCGGCAGAACTCCAACCAGTACCTTGGCTACCTATCAGGCCTACACTTTGCTCACAATGCAATCTAGACCCAGGCTTCTGCATGAAAGCAGCTTGGTGCTGGCAGCCACTCGGGCATTCCGGCAGTCTGTGAAAGTGACGAAGCCAGAGTGGCCATTCACCTCTTGCAACAGCAATGGATCCGCGTGCGACCACGGCACTGACCAAGTTTACATGTCATAAGGACTATACGATCTGATACGGTAGTCCTGAGCCTTGTGGCATTATATCCCCCAATTGCAAGCCCGAGCCACATCCATGTCAATCGTCCGTCTTACTTACCTCAAGAACCCTCAAGCTAGCAGTGCTGTGCGTAGGGAGGCAAGCCTCAACGGACCCCTTCTTGGGTTGGAGGTCGCTTAGACCGAGGCCTGCGCAGACCGCGATGCTCGTAGCTGTTAACCGATTCTTAACACCCCATGCCACACAGGTTAATCGAAGAACTCTTCGACTCCTGCCCAGAGCGCCGAAAGGATAATCACTTCACCAATCGACTCCAATTCAAAACAAAACGCTGGAACATCACCCTGAGGAAACAGCTGAGGAAAGTATTGATGCGAAACAGGTTGTAATAAACACTTCAAAAAACGAGAAACTGCTGCAAGTGCTTCACAGGAGTAAGTCCTCCTTGACAGAAGTGACCCTAACAGGTTGTAATAAGCAACGAGAGAACTGTTGGAAGTGCTGCATGGGAATGACTGCTCCTTGACCAAAGTGACCTACCCTTGAGACAAAAGAAATGCCAAATGTACCCAGGGAGCTCCGCCGATCCCGCTGGCGGCATCCTTGCCCAGCGCTTGGGCTCTGAAAGTTCACTTGCGAACGCGGGTGCATGTGAACGTGAGAGGGTGCATGTGTATCTGGCTAACTTGCACGCGCGCGCGCACGAGTGCGTGTGTGTGATTCTTTGTTTGTTTGTTCGCTCCGTGATTCCGTGATCGTACAAGCTCATGCAGCAGCAGCAGCAGCAGCAGTAGCAGCAACAGAAGCAGCAGTAGAAGTAGTAGCAGTCGTCGCCGCGGAAGAAATGCACCCCTGTTCCTGCTCAGTGCATCAGGGCCTTGTGTTAAAATCTATAATGAAGCCTACGAGAGGGCGGGCGCAGTTTGACAGCAACAAGTAAGACGAGAGCCTTCTCGCGTTGCATCCACCCCGACCCCTTTACAAACATGTCCGAACGGAGAAATCGGTGATTCAGAGGGAGGGTGATGTAAGTTCGAAGCTCTGAACCCAACATGCCGAAACAGCATCTGCTCGGCCTTGGCCACACTTTCGCGGTACTGCTTCACTTCCTGCAAATGCAAGGCAGTTAGGATCGCCTCTCAACTCAACCCATCCTGTTACCCCCGGCACCAGACATGGCACCGAGATGCACTGGGTCTGCCCGAATGAGACGTTTCCGGGAAGTTCGCAGTCCCTGCTCCTCCATGTCTGCGACAAGTCTGCTCCAAAAGACTCTGCGGTAGGATTATCTCGCTGTTTCCTCAGTACAAGCCTGGCAATAACTACTGAGACTCGGCGCTCACACTCGGACTCTTCCAGTCGAGGCAGGTGTCCACTTGGTCTGGTGAGGTGAAATTCGAGCGGGAGTATTGCGCAATTCTGACAAGAACAACGCCTCAATGTAGGCTGCTCAACAGTTTCCGCGCAACATGTCAAAGCAGTCCCGCTATAGGAACCCAAAGACAAAAACTGCGGCCCCGGTCAATAAGGTTGGAATAAGAGAACTTTGCTATTGGAGCAGCCTGCTCCGGGACAGATAAGTGAGCGAGATTACTCCTCCCTACCCCTCAAGCAGGTAGTGAGTTGAGTTATAGTGAAACCTACCGCTAACCTTCGGCCCTTTTCTTCCTTCTGGCCTACAACTCCAAACCCGTCAAGGACGCATAATCCAGAACAGCCTCCTCCCCTCCCATTTTTGGTAAGCTTCCGGCCGCAAACTGCGGAGCAGCCGGGATAGATGCGACTTCGATGTTCATTCGTGTCCATGATGTGTAAAGAGTACAGGGTGCTAATTAATGGGTGGTATGTTATGCGGAGGGTGTTGCTGCCTTTCTGTCAATCACAGACATGCTTGTACTATATGCGCATACACATGTCTACAAACATATATATATATATATACACACACACATACACACATACACATGCGCAAGTACATGCAGGCAGGCAAACATGCAAACATTAAACACCGACATACATAGGCATACATACGTGCAAGACATACCATACATACATACATACATACATACATACATACATACATACATGCATACGTACATACATACATACATACATACATACAAGTTACATACACGCATACATCCGTTCATGCTTACTTACATACATATGCATATCCTAAAACATGTACATGTACCAAAAATAAGTACATATATACATATATATATATATCGTGTACATGTGCATGCACATGTGCATCTATACATGCATTCACCTGTACAGATAATATATATGTATATATATATATATGTATATAAGTATGTGTGTATACACCTATACATGTACCAACACAAATGCATACATTATATACATATATACATATGTACATATATATATATATACACACACGCACACATATCTCTATATATACACATATACATATGTACATATACACACATATACATGCATAATCATGTGTATATATATATATACATATGCGTGCGTATACTCATATGCAATACCTATGCACACACACATACATATACATACATATATATATATACACACACATGCACTCACTCTCGCCCGACCGGGTCAGGCAACCATAGACATATACATACACAGATGCATAGGCACACACACACACACACTCATATACATAAATATGAGGGACAGAAGAGCTGTACATAGCGGCCGCACACCCGCACTCCTCCTGGCCTTCGTTTTCGTCTCGATGGTTGCTTTCCAGTAGTCCATCGCATCTTCGGAGCTTCCCGTGAGGCTTCCCATCATGTGCTTGATCTGTGGTCGTGCGTCTTCCTCGGCTGCGGGTCCCATTACCTATAGACGGTGGACCGTGAAACTTATCAACTCATGTTGTCTTCTGCTTTGGCGTGGGCAGCAATTCAATAGGCACCGTGCTCGCGTCCATTATGCCGGTATACGTCCATGTGCTAAAAGGCGCTATCCGAACCCGACTGGAGGAAGGACGGAAGAGTGGGGACAGGACATGAGGAATGATCCCCCATGCTCCAGGCGAAGGATCCGGCTTGCCAGCATTTTCCCACTCCTCGCACTGCGAGGATCCGATGACCCGGCCGAGTCAGGAGGTGACTCTACGGTTAGGCACAGTTTGTCGGGTGACGGGAAAGTTTTGGTCCAGGTCCAGGGTGTTGATATCGGGGATTTTCCCACTCGCTGCCGGGCAGAATACTTCCGATCGAGACATACGTAAGAAGCAACTACTACACACCGTTGGTACCGGACTTCAGGGTCAATGCGAAGCAGGACGTCGTCATTCAAAATGATCGTGTGCCAGAAGCAAAACACACAGACACAAACATCTTGTGCAAAGAGCATGCTGAATCCGACCTCTTGTAGACCTGCAGAACACATGCAGCTAGCACTGTCATGACCATGGCCATGACTATCCATGACTCACAGTGCTGGACACCGTGGTGTTCCTGTAATAGCATATAAATGCAAAATGCAAAATGATCACCTTTCGCTCTCGCAACTCGCACATGATCACCTTTGGTTTGGCCCCTAACGTCCCTAAGCCCTACACCCGATTCTGAAAGCTCCAGGACTAGGAGACCAGTACTTTGCGGTCCTGCTCCACCTTGGCCAAGGACTGTACAGCTGTCTGAAGCTCGGAATAGACCTCGGCGGGGAGACTCTGAGAGGTCTAAGGGTTGGGCTTATTGGGGTCTGGGTCCCTTGGCGCAGCGATTCAGGGTCTGGAGCTGCTCTGCTTTGGGGGTGAAGAGCTGTACCGGATGAGGTGCCAAGTTGATTGTGGCATGGGTGGGTTGCCTGGACTGACATAATATGGAAGCCTAACAAATTACCAACGCTTTTCCTTGAGGTTCCTTAGTCTAGTTATAGACGAACATACCGCACAAACCTATTCTAACCATTGAGCCCCACCCATGTTCTTGCTCCTGGCCGGGTGGCTGTCTCCAGCTCGGGCATGTTCTTCGCGACATTCACAGCCTCACGCACACCGACTTCACAACGTCGTGGATGGAGAAGCGAGATTTGATCGTCGGTGCCCAAAAAGCACATGCCAACTTCGAATCTGCATCCGAAACTGAGTTCAGATTATCCTGCTACATTCGTGATACCGACCTCCATCGCTGACACCTTTTCAACCGTGTAGAATATTACCGCAACATGCTCATGCAGCCGCGGCTGGCTGCGAGATTCAGAGAAGAATGGTACTTCGCTCGCAGTCGAGTCGTAAAGTTGGAAAATGTTGGAAAGTTGGGATAGGGGCCAAACAACAAACCCTTACCGCAGGCCATCCACGCTGCATACGCTGGCAAGAAAATTGTTAAGCCCAGTTTTGTTCAGGAGGGCTGTTGTTTTATTTGGTGCGTCGAGCCGAAACTGTCGCTCCTTCACGTCGCTCGCGTTGAACATTCGGCTGAAGTACTCCTGGCAAGGGCTATAACTAACCTACCGCACAGGCACTGCGGCGAAAAAACAATGCGGCCTCCTTCCTAAGCTGCTTCGAGAGATCTGACCGACAGCAGCCTTAAAAGTCGATTAACACGCCGCGATCAGTTCGCTTGTGTTCATTGAGGGGCGAAGCCAGACGACTTCGCTCCAAAACCGGTTCGGCTTCGGGCGAACTCAAAAATGCGATGCGCCAGGATTCTAAAGGAACACTTGCGAAGTAGGCTGTAGGGCCTCGAAACCCTGCTTTTTGTGGAATGTGAGTGGTAAGAGCAACTCTTGAGACCTCAACCCCAGAGCCTGAACCTTAACCCTTGAAGTTGCAAGGATCTACAGATTCGCAGTCCTGGACTTTCGCATCCGACTGATAGTCCTCCGGGATGCCTGTAGCATCACAAAGTCATCGACTGTCACATAATAATAGATCAAGACAAGATAGCATAACATAGAGGCCTCAATAATTACCTATATTATTTTGAGGGTTCTTTATTATAATTGTAGTATAAGGGGCCCCAAACTATTCTAATTATTACGGCGTGCGGCTTTGTTGTGATGGTATTCATTTACACTAAGTCTAGTGTCCTTGACGGTACTATTGCTGGTTGCTAGTACCACGCGTGTTGTAGCTATCACTTCTGATCCACCTAACTTTTTCATCGCGCTTGTTCTCGGTGTGGACCCTGCTTCATGTAGACAGTGCATGATTTTGGGGGATCATGACATGGGTCGTACGTGTTTTGCATTATTCATATTCCGAGACTGAGGGCACGATTGCCCTTACAGTACTCCTGTCGATTGAAAATGACTGTTGTCATTGTGGATCAGGAACGCTTCCAACACCATGCCCTCGAATCATATTCATCGAAGACCTTAACCACAAAGCCCGCAGCGACGTGCAGCAATGCGCAATCCAACATCAATGGCTCTTAAGACTTAACCTGCGAACATGCCTGCCGGACCCATCAAGCAAGTAACCTGCCTTCGACAAGTACTGTTGAGGCTTGCGGGATCTTCAGTTGCTTCAGCCACAAAAACCGTGACTTGCAGAACATACCTCGGCTTTCAAGACTGCTTTTGAGTTCTGCACGAAGGTCGACAACATTTAGAGGTTAATCACACTCGAGGGTGGCACTTCGGCAAACAAGCTCAACGCAGAACTCCAGAGCTTGGTCCGATACCCGAATCCAAAGCCATCTGGGTGCCGCATCCTTATTGTCGGAACTTTAATGCCGCGACTGCGTCTGTCAGCCAAGAATCGCATGGAATTCATCGTTTCCTGCTGGAGAAGCCACCAGCTTCAGACAAGTGGTTAAATTCGAGGGAGGTTGGCTTTTGTTGTCCCACGGAATACTTGATATCTCCTGCCGGACTATATACACGACGATGAGGGGAATGATCGCGTAGACGTAATACCTGCAGCAATCACAAGCAACATCAAGCAAGCAGCGGCATCTGGGTGCTACACGATGAGTGCACTCGAAAACAAGATTGCTTGCTTGTGGAGCTCCTCTGCAAAGTGCATGAGATACTGGCAGATTGAAGACCATAGAGGGCTAGCCGGCATAGACCGTGACATGTATGAGTTCTGCAAAGTAAACCAGAACTGAAGGAAGGGCTGAAAGACCTCCAGAAGCCGTGACAAAAAAAACAAGAGCAGTCCAAAACAAAGGCGGACCCTTTCAGCTTGAATTTGCACCCGCACAAGATACACTCGGTCCAGTAATAACAGCCGTGGAGCAGCCAGGGATGCCCGACTCTTACATTGCCCATTGCAATTCCTGCAGAGACTGTTCTGGCCGGGGTAGATTGCTTTGTACCGTGCCGAACATCAGCAACAAGTCGTCGTGGTGGTGGTGGTAGCGGCGGTGGTAGAGGTAGTGGTAGTGGTCGTGGTCGTTGTCGTGGTGCCGGCGCTGGCGCTGGTGCGGGGGGTGTGTGGTGGTGATGGTAGTGGTATGTTCAGTAGACGTGGATGTAGAGCTTAAGCATCATAAGTTGAAACAGTAGTTGTCGCCCGTCCGTCGTCGTAGTTTGTAGTAGTAGTCGTAGTCGTAGTCGTAGTCGTAGTCGTAGTCGTAGTCGTAGTCGTAGTCGTAGTCGTAGTCGTAGTCGTAGTAGTAGTAGTAGTAGTAGGAGGAGTAGGAGGAGTAGGAGTAGGA